GACAGGACACTAAAATTACAGACAGTTTTCCCTGGTCTTTAAATTTTCTGTAAATGGTTATAATACTGATGCTACTACTCACTATCTTTTATATTTTTTTTTTTTACATTTTTATTGTGAATTGAGTGAAAGTTTACAGGGCAGATCATCAGTTTTACATTCAATAGATCATACCTTGTTTCATTACAATGATTATAATCCCCTCCATGTACCATCAGTTAACAATATTTCTCTTTATTCATTTTAACTATCTTTTTTTTAAAAAAAACACTCAGGCATATACCACACCAAAGGGCACATTCTGCATCACTTACTCTCTTAGTTTAACTGACATTTTGCATTTTCGACAACACTACCCAACGATTCTGCACATTAATGACACTTATCTGGCAGTAAGGAACACTGAGGTGACCACTGAAGCAAGGTAAGAGTGATGCTGACGGCGACGGTAGGGTTATGTGTCAGCTTGGCTGGGCCATGACTCAGAGATCTGGCAGCTGTCTAAAGATACAGCCAGCCTCCAGATTGTGATCTGATGTGCCGGTCATCCTCCATTTTCAGATAATGCCAACTTTTCACATAATGAGCTTTGGAATTAACCATGTTGGTATGTGCTGTATGCTCCTACAGTTATATAATAAATGTATTAAAATGATTTAACATGGGATTTGGGAGTTAGACTTGGATTCAGATTGAGCTGTTACTCATTACTATAGGACCCTGCAGAACTTATAGAACCACACTGACATTCAGTTTCCTCATCCATAAAAAAGGGGTTACATTTTTCTTACAAGCTCAGGAGAGATTTAAATCAAACAACATAAGTAAAGCACACAATTAAATAAATGCTAGCTCGCAGTCCCCCTCCATTATTTAAAGGCTCTCATTTCTGAAGTTCTTCTGCCTCGGGGGTTCTAGACTGCTGGTCATCTGATTCAGACGCTTCGAGTTTATATCATGGTTTCTTGACTGCTCAGTGAAATCCAGTATGACTACTTACCTTCTGTCAAAATCTGTTTCAAGAAAGATTGCTTGAAAAAACTCCAAGTCAATTTGGCCTCTTCCCAGTTCACAAAAGTCTGTAAGAGAAAGCAAAACAAATCAACTAACCAAACAATATTCCAGAAACTTCAAGTCTAAGAATACAATGCTATGTGAGACATAAACTCATTCTGCCTAAATTCCACCAAGTCTTCATTTAAAGCTAAACATATAGAAGTCATCCAAGAAATATTGGGAAAGAATGTACACGACAATATTTATATTACACTGCTAACCAGGAAGACAAGAGTCTTTAGGGCTAAGAGCCTCCCTGTAAGAAGCCTGTCCAGTACCTTGAGACCTCTATAGAAGAACTGCTGCTGGCCCCTTGGAAGCCTGATAATACATTGACCACACCTGACACATAGAGCTCATAATCAGTTTTTACCTAAAAAGGGGTCTGACTCATGCCAAGCTCCATACATGCTACATCTTAATGTTATATTCAGCTCTCCAGAGTCACTTTACGAAAAACTTTGCTTGAATATTTGGAGAGAAAGACAGATTTTCCATTCAGTTTAACAATTCATAAAGTGGACAGAAAGGAAAGAATTTGTGGGCATGAAGGTCCAGGGACGGGAGACTTAGAAACACTGTTGTAACTCATATTTCGTAAGGAATATGAAATTTGGGGGCCGATATAGATGTGACTGCCTTGTAGAGGGTGAGAAGGAGTGTTTTTTAACTCAAACTTTCTCCTCCATCAACCAATCCTCACCTGGCTTCTTTTCCTGTCTGTCTTCAGGACTCAGCCAACTGCAGGGGTATGAACTGCCTCCAGTTCAGGACCACTAACTCCTCTGAGGGTCTCTCCAACACACCCAAACCCCCAAATGCTGCTCAGGCTAGGCATGTGAGTTATGATATTGGACAAGGGTAAGAAGTAATCAAAGTGCTTAGTCATGGCAGAGGTTAGCCTGTAAGAGACTGGTGGTGGTTATGTGCCGTGGAGTCGGTTTCGACTCATAGCGACCCTGTACAGGGTTTCCGAGGCTGTAAATCTTTTACAGGAGCAGAAAGCCTCACCTTTCTCCCACGGAACAGCTGGTAGTTTCGAACTGCTGCCCTTGCGGTTCACAGCCCGATTTGTAACCACTATGCTACCAGTGTAATAGACTAGTGTCCTCAAAGTCAGAGAGCTGACCGCAGATGGTCGAGGACACCAGACAAATGGATGTCAATTCTCTCCACCTAATTTCCTTCCTCTAGCATACAGGCATCCTAGAATATCTAAAATGTTCAATCTAGAATGTTTAGTCTAGGTATTAGGTTCTTAGTTCCAGGGTATTTGTATGTTCAAAAGTTCTGAGTGATAACTTTTGTATAGTGGGATTTCAGGGAGCTCTTTGGGAGGGGAGGGTCTTCCAGGAACTTCAAAAGGAATGAAAAAAAGTCTATGGCTGACAAGCTTTCAAGAGGGAGCCTAGATCTAGAGGGCGTGGAGGAGGGTAGAATCTCCACTGAGTAGTATCCAATCTGTCTGGGCGGGGCTGGTGAAAGGTAATGTGGATAGGTCTCTTGGGATACAATAGTGAATAACTGTTATCAGGACTGACTGTGAGGGTTGGAAATGTAAAGGTAGACGTTTTGTAGCAAAAGAAGGGGAGTGACTGACTTTGCAGTCTAGGAGCAGAGGTCCCTGGGACCATCAAGGGAGAAGAGCAGAGAGTGGGACCCTACCCAGAGAAGCAGTGACGCCTGAGATGGAGGCAGAGACGATGACATGGGAAGATGGAGCAGCTGGGGACTTTAGACCCAGAGAAGGAGAGGGTCTGTGTGCTGACGACTGGGGGCAGGCTTGCAGGGTATACCCTTTGGTTGGTTGATGATACATGGAGGGGATTGTAACCATGGCAATGAAACAATATACGATAGGATGAATGTAAAACTAATGTTCTCCCATGTAAACGATCATATAATTTACAACATTAAAAAACAAACAAAAACTCAAGCAGGAAAAAAAGTCAAGTTTACTCCACCTCTCTTCTGGAATTTGCTGAGGAAGTAGAGTGATGGGCAAACCTGGAGACTTCTCCAATCATGTGGGGCCCTGCCCTTGGCTCAAGGGCTATCTATATACAGCCATGCTATCTGATAGAAATCTAAAGCAGCCCACATTTTGAATTTAAAATTTCTGCAGTGACTCTGTAAGATAAACACTGCACTGAGAACCACAAGATTGGCAGCTTGAGCCCACCCAGCTGCTCTGTAGAAGAAAAATAAGGCTTTCTGTTCCCACAGACTTACAGCCTCAGAAACACTACACAGGGTCGCTATGAGTCAGAACTGACTTGACAGCACTAAATGACAAGAAGTAGTCATAGAACAGAAAAAACAGGTGATACTAATTTTGAAACATCCTATTTTGTTCTGTTGTGCATAGCATTGCTACAAGTCAGTACCGGTTCGATGGCAACTAACAACAACATTTAACCCAAATGATATCATGTCAACATGTAATCAATGTAAAAAAAAAAGTAGAGACATTTTACACTCTTTTTTTCATACTAAGTCTTTGAAATCCAGTGTCTTTTGCACTTACAGCACATCTCAATTTAGACTAGCTGCATTCCAAATACCATACAGTCACACAAGGCTGTATAGTTCATTTAGGACAGGGCAAGTCTAGAGTACCCAAAAGAAAAGGTTATTTGCAACTTTCTGAGTTTCCTCACCCCTTGGTTTCTGAACCTTTCTTCAGATATTGGGAGGACAGGGCTGAATCTTCTCAAATGAGACTGACTCAGGACACTAATGAACATGGAGCACACGCCAAGGGCAGTCCAGGGATAAATCTCCCTCAATGAGAGGGAAATTGGGACACAAGGCTCCTTTCTCCAGAATAAAGAACATGGGACTATTTAGCACCACCAGGGGGCACTGTGGGTCATATTTTCCTGTGACACCAATTCTGCTCCTTGGGTGATGCAGGGACCTTTGTCACACACACTCTTAGGGGATGCTGGTCCTCTGGCAGTCTGCCTGTGCTCTTTATTTCAAAGGAAACAAAAACTTGAAGCTTGCCCATGAGGATACTGAGAAGTCTTCTTGTTGGTAGATTGATAATGGATTTGGGAAGATGATTAAGCTCTTTAAAGAAAAAGTTTGTTATGAAAGTCAAATTGTGTCAGTATGGGTCTTATCTGAAAGCTTATATTTGAAGATTCATTTCTCCTAATGCCTTCAATTCAGAGAGGCCTGTGGTTCCGAAGGAATGGCCATACCACTTACTAGCTCTAAAAACGTCCATTAAAGACATGAAGGCAGAAAGTCAGATTGGAGATTGGATTTCTATTCAGGGGTAACTGCTACGTGGAAGAAAAGAAGAAACACATTTTAGGGTCTTTTACCACCCTGTTCAGAGGGGCTCTGTCATTTGGGATGATCAAATGAAGTCTATTTCATAAGAGCTAGATTGGTATGTTCTGCTGAACTAGTCTAAGAAGCTGTGAATTTCTCCAGAAGCCCCTGAACAACTTGGCATTTCACTGGGGCATTGTATTGATAGAGAGATGGAAGCTTAGAGGAAGAAAGCTGGTGGGCAGTAACTCCATGCTACATGAAGGTTTAGAATAAGAACTGTGAAGCTTGACCTGCTCTAACCTGACTCATTTCCACTTCTTAAAACTCTCTGACTCAGGATGATCCTATCAGCCACAACCTTACCACACTGGCCCAGAGTTACTGGGGAGTCTCAGGCCATAGTTTTGTCCTCTTGCCTCACATCACCTCTACCATCCCACACAGCACTCTTTCTTCTCCTTCTTGTTGTACATATGCCCCTACTGTTCAGGGGCTATCAATTCTGTTCCAGGTACATCTCCCATTTCCATCCTCCTTTCCACTATCCTTATTACTTCTATCTGTATGACTACAACAGCCTCTGAATAAGCTTTCTCACTTCAAACCTTTTCTCTAACCCAGTCTTATCATTATAAAGTTTGGGTTTCAGAGTCAGAGAGAATGGGGCTCAAACTGCAGCTCCATGACCTATCTGTGCTAAGGCCACAGGCAAGACCCTTAACTTTGCTAATCCTTGGCTTCCTCATCTGCAAAATGAGAAAAGGTGGCCTACCTCCTGAAGCTGAGGATTGAACAGGTAAAAGAAGACACTCAATAAAACTGTAATAGATGGTAGCTTCTTAACATAGACTGTTAGATGGTGGCCCTGTTCAAAAACCTTCCATCAAACTACCTCCTCTGCCATGAGACTGGAAGAACTGGATGTTGCCTGGCTACTATTACTGAACATTCAGATCAATGGTACCATAGAAGAATACTGATTTAAAAGGGGGGAAATGCAAAACAGAACTTTAAATTCTCATAAACTTGACTTTCTGGCAAGGGGGTTGCTAAATGAATCCCTGAAACTCTTGCCCTGAGAAAATCTTTAAAATTGAAACCAAAAATATCTTCTGACATCTTCTTAAAATTAAACAAGTGTTTAGCTTAACTAGTAAAAAATATCTGCCTTGAGCCTTATGCTCTTTTAAGAACTATCTACAAAGGATCAAAGTGACAATAGCAACTCTAAAGATTAGATAAGGGGGCAGTGAATTTATGTTAGTGGGGGAGGAACAACTCAGAATAGAAGGGTGAGGATGTTGCACAACTCTAAGACAGGAATCAATGTCACTGAATTGTATATGCAGAAGGGGTTGAATTGGCATAGGTTTTGCTGTGTACATTCTAATAACAAAACAAAATTACTTATATAAATAAACAAACCTTTTATCACTCTTCATTGCCTCTGAATTAAGTCTAAACCCTTCAGTACAGAACTGAGGTCACCACTACCTGGTTCCAGACCAGAAAGGCAGGTTTACTTCCCTCCACAAACTCCTTCTACCTTTTGCTTCCTCTCCCTTTGCCAACTGCCCAGTCAACCTGAGTACCCAGACATCTCTGCATCCCCAATTCCAACACAATGACAGACATATGCTCAAAAGACCCTGAGCAAATGTCTTTCCTTCCTGCAGACACAAGTGCCCATTCTCACCATTCATACACATTTCACCTCTGCCTACCCAGGGTTAAG